TACCGATAAGCCTTCTAAAAATTTGAAATTTTAAAACTGTTTTGCCATGCTCCTGGGCTATGTGTCATTCCTTTCAAATGATGTAAATTGACTATAATGGAGTATGAAATGTGGTACATTGGACCACGATTTGATTATATGATAAAATGTACACATATTACACATGTAAGTTATAATCCCGGTTAAGAAGATGTTATTGACGTGAAGTCGAGTTGTGCGACAAACACAGGTATTTTTGCGGGTTGACGGATGGTCAACGGTTGATAAATGACCCCTGGTTTTAGGGGCGTCACAAAAATAATCTTTCTGGTTACGATCTTGATTGAACACTGCTCTTGTTTGTCTCAAAATCGATCTTCAAGGTTAGAACTTCGACGAAGAGTTGTCGATTTTTGGGGAACTCCGACTAATGAAGGCATTCAAATCTGCAAGAAAACGATGCCATATTGGGTAGGGTTTTGTGGTCTTGGACAACGTCGTTGAGCTAAGTTGCTGCCTTGTCTTTTGTTTGCCAAAACGTTGTCATTCCACTTAACCGCATATCATGCGGTTAGATTTCAATAGTAGAGAATCTGCACCCGTGACGAAAGTGGGCTGGGGTGGTGGTATTGCAAGTGGTGAGTTTTGTTGAGAAAGGGGGAGAGGGTTTGTAGAGAGAGAGATGAATGATTCGAGAAAGGCATGGCTTTTGAGGGTATTTTAGGAATTAGACATTATAATTTTGGCACATTTTTCCTCACTTGTATATTTGAGTGCGTGATTCACACACTCTGTTAAATTAATAATGTTCATCTACTTTTGCACTTTATTTTTAAGTTGAAGAGGCTAAGTACAATAGTTAAAACTATGAGGAGATTACGCGCAAATGAGCCTAAATACATGGAATTTTTTGCATTTAACCCTAAAAATAAAGTAAATAGACAGGATTTATCCCCCAAGAAGAAGGACAACCATTTACTCAAGAGGTTGTGTAAAGTCTCATTGGACTTGTTTTTCAAGACTCCGACCAGAGCAATGTGCCAGCCTAATTTTAAGATTTAGATGACATACACTCAAATCTATTGTCATATAAAAACTAGGCAAACCACACCAAAGAATATGACTTACAAATCGAACTAAGCTTGAATAAGAATCCAGGCTCGGAGAAGGCTGATAAATAGGTAGTGGAGACCGCCCTCCTAGTCGCTCGAGCGGTTGATAGATGATTCAAGCGGCCCTACTCCGCTTGATTAGTTTGATTCCATTTTTTATTCCAGGAACAGTCGCCCTCTGACAGCTTGAGTGGTCATTCACGAATTTAGATTTTCTTGATACCCACTCAAATTTCGAGGATATACATAGGGCAAGTCTCTCTTAACTAGGGTAACTCTCTAAAGCACTCCAAAATTGCCTCTTAAAGATGTAGAGAGTCGAGAACAATCTTAGATCCTTAAGGTTCCAAGGCCAAAACCTACATGATTCTTCCACTCAACATCACACACTGAACAATGAGAAGATTGAGCTCGAGTTTATAACAATCATGTCCAACCGAGCTTGAGTATACAAAAACTCGGAAGGCTCATCCATATTCCTTGCACTCGAACCACAGCAATTAAATAGAAAAAGAGAGAAGAAAATAAAAAAGAACAAAAACTCTCACCCTTAAAAACTAAACAACCGCATAACATATTTATCATCTTGCTTAATATGCATGTTCATCAGCTGTATGCTATGATCATAAAAGGTTTGAGGAAATTTTGCAAGATATGCAAATTTTTCCCAAACACAATGCTGAAGATTCATAAAACACAATCCAACACCCCCCCCCCCCCCTCTCATAGTGCCCCAGATCAAGACATACTACAATCTCCAATAATTAAATGGTTTCAACTGCTAGATTGCCCAACATTTTAACTAATGGAACAGGACACTTTGTAACAATATCCAACCTTGATGAATTGGAGGCATGCCCAAACAAAGACAAACTCAGCATAGCAAGCTCTCCAAGAGACAACCTTGAAGAGAGAAACCCATGCCAGTAATAAGGATCCAAATCAAAGAAAGCATCAAAGAATCTCCTAGTCCCATTCAAATCAAGCTTTAACAAAGTCTCCATCCCAAAAGAGTAAAACTCCCTTACACACCTCCTCTCAATAGGCCACAACCCATTCCACACTCTTTTATGCAGTGGCTTTCCTCTGATCATTCGTGTTGAACCTAGGCACTCTGCGATGGAATCAGCAAGCACTGGAGCCAGAGCCAGAGTCCGAGCCACCATGTACCCTGTCGAGGGATGAACTATACCGGAATTCCCACCTATTGCCATCACGTTTTGTGGTATTAGAGGAAGAGGTCCACCCATGGGAATCAGACACTTCTCTTTCTCAATTACACTCTTCACCCTGATTCCCAAATGCCTTAACCTTGCCACCATCCTCTCCTTGATCTCCCTATACGATAAAACTGGCCTGCTAACCAGGGAAGTCTCTTCTAGGAACACCAGGTTCGAATCAAATGGCATTGCATACAGAAAAGTGGGAGTTTTTGAATTACTATTGCGCAAATATGGCTCATTCCCCAGATGGGTATCTCTCCAATCCATAAGAACCATCTTGTCCAAATCAAAGGGGTGATTCTGCACTTCAGCCAAAATTCCATGGGCAATCTGATATCCATGGTTTCTAGGCTTATCATATTCGATAAAACTGCTTGTGAATCCACTAGCATCCACAATCAAACTTGCCTTCAGTTCATTTCCATCATCACAAATGATTGAAGATACAAACTCTTGGTGATCAACTTTCCAGACCTTGGCCTTATGGAATTTGACACCATTTGAAACGCAACCCTCCAAGAGCTTAATCTTTAGCTCCTTCCTACCGACTCTGCCATAGGCACGGTCCAAATACTTGGTCTTATGGTCATTGATATGAACAGAAGCCATAGGCCATGTTCTGTCAAAACAATCCTCAAGCCCCAAGCCCTCAAACTCATCTACCCAGGCTCCATAATTGTTAGGCCACATGGAGAGCGGCGAAGGGTCAACGCAACATACCCGAATTCCATAACGAGAAACTTGTTCGGCAAGACGGAGACCAGCCGGGCCGGCACCGATTATGATCAGATCTAAGCGAGACCGATCGGAGGGGTTTAGCCAGGGGACATCAAGATTTAAAGACTCTGGTTTTGATGTGGGTTTTAGATCAAGAAAGCAACCAAATTTGTTGCTTTGAATTTTGTGATGAAGTGTTCTTGGAGAGGATTGAGTTTTTGGAAGGAATAAAAGAGAGGAGAGTGGTGAATAAGACCTCTGAGTGGTGGACAGCATAAGAGGTGGAGTAGGCCTTAGGAGAGTACCCATGACAGAAAGGAACTGAGTTGGGAATGGCTAGTGTTTTCTGGTAGATATCTGTGTATATATATATATATTTAGAGAGAGAGAGAGAGAGAGGGGTTATGTGTAAGTATGAAGGAGGGAGGGGGAGGTGGGAGAAATGGACAAAAGGAATCAGAAAGCAGTTCGAAGAAAACGATGCTCTTTCGGTTTTGGCGCAAATTTAAAACGTAAAACAGCAAATGGAAAAGCGTACTATATTGCACACAGTACATGCCAAAATCTACAACAACTTTGGTGGGCCCTACCATAAGTTAGACAAGAGTAATGCCCGTTAGTGAGTTGAGCGTCTCAGTGCTCTGGCCGTCCAAGTAAGAAGACGAGGAGTTGACTCAGTTCACTTGAATGCGGATTGGGGTCCCACTATGTCCTATACGGGAAATTTTTTATGTCCTAAATTTGTGCCCTAAAAATTATATTACCTCAGCTCTTAAATATCTCTTGTTTAAAATTTTTGCATAAAGATTAAATAAATTATTAAATAACTCTAATATGAGTAAAAAATAATTACACAAAATTAAAATATTCTTATTCAATATGTATTGGGAAGGAAAAAAATATAAAAAGTACTTAGCCTTTATTAAATCTAATGCATTGAAAAATTAAGGATAAATTTAAAAGAAAAAATATTAATTATGTTTTAGTTTTATTAAACGACAGATATTATGGAACAAAAAAAATTGTGTAGAATGACAAATATTTAAAAACGAAGAAAATATTAAATTAATTCTAGCGATGAGACTCACTTATCTAATAATTATAAGTAATTTGATGCAATTTTTGGTACACAAATTATAATTTTATTCGATGATAAATCCACACAAGAATCATCATTTATTAGTGTAATAGTCACTTATATATAAATAAATGATTTATCATTAAATAAAATATATATATAATAGAAAAGATCTTAATTCATATTACTTTTTCTTTTTTGGTATCAGTCTTTCTCAATTCACATTGCCTCATAGGCCACTTAGCAGACCAAGGAACATACAAGGTTGAGTGGGGCGCACTTAACTCCTTGCTTTTTTGGTCTGGATTTGGTAACATACCAAACCCCTTGCGCGCTGCTTGATAAGTGGGTATGGGGGTTGACAATAAGAATTTAGAAAAAATAGTATAAAGGATTTTCAAATTTCATATTTGTATGAAAATTTTAATTTTGAGTTTTCAAACTCAGTCTGTAACTAGCCAAAGATTAAATCCACGATTATAGGTTTCGTCAAACCTAGGGAGGGGTAAGTTTGAAAAGATGGATAAATGATAAAAGATTCAAAAGACAATTGTACCCCTAAATATAGATATAAATTGAATTGATTAAGGGTAAAATAATTATTTATAGGATAAATAATTGTTAATAATAATGATATATTCGTGGATTCTACATGTGGATATGTTACATACCAAATATGAGTATGAACCAAATTGAATGTTGAATTTCATTTTTATAAAGAGGAGTTTGAATTTGGAAGGGTTTAGAGAAACTAATTTAAACCCCTCTCCAAAATTCATCCAAACAAGCTCCTAGGTGCTATTATCATGGGGAATTGGAGGGTTTGGTAAGATGAGTTTGAAAAAAAAAGTCTAAAAGACCCCAAAATTTCATATTTTAATTGAAAATTGAGAAATTTGGAGGACGGTCCCCTTATATGGGCTTATTTGAACTTAAGTCTGTCAAGAAAACTTATTTGTTATGAAATCTTTTTTTTGTTAATTTTACCAAATTATTCCTTTTCTGTAGAAGTGAAGTAAAATTGAAAATTAAAAACTCCTAAATTTTAAAAGTTTGACTAAAATTAAAAATTTTTCTCTCTCATATATCTATACAATAAAATAGGAGTGTGTTCAGTCATATTTGCCCTCTCAAAATCATCATCAATCACTTACCTTACTCATCATCCCTTTGTCAGACTCAAATGTCAAATCACATCATTCATTTCTATTACATATTTAATCATTTATATATCTCCTCACTAAAAATATCATACTACTCATTTCTATCATATATTTAATCATTTAATATTTAATTAATTTATAGTTAATATATTTAAAAAAAATTTAATATAGTAAGATCGATTTTTTGGACGTTCGAATTTTATATTTGTCGTACCTTCAGACACGGGTTATAACTAGTATAGTTAACACAAAAAAATAGCAGTATGAAACATAGTTAACATAAAAAATAGTACCATTTAAACACAAAAAAATAGTTACATTTAAACATAAACAAATCATAAAATTCAATATTAATATTTAAAAAAAAATAACAATAGTAACATGTTAAACAAAAATAATAACATGCTTCACGAAAATAGTAACATACTCAACCAAAAAAAATAGTAATATGAAACATTGAACAAGCTATAATTCTTTAGTATCCAAAAAAATAATACTGAAAAAGTAATAACATGCTCAATAAAAAATAGTAATATGGTCAATTAGAAAAAATAGTAACATGGTCAACAAAAAATATAATAACATAAAACCTTGAAAAAATTTAAGAATTATTTATCAAAAACATAAAAAAAAATAAAATATAGGAATCAAACTAATAGTACATTGAGTAAGTTTTTCAAACGACATAAAAGTTCATGATGATCAGAACACAGTAGAAGATATGGTAGTTGTTGTTGTTGTTGATATTTTAAACTTTACTGATTTTGATGCTTTGGAAGAAGAAATGATATTTAAGGAGAAAGATTTGTTGTACTAGAGTGATGATCTTCTAAAGAGAGACAGAATATAAATTCGAATTTCAATTTAGGAGTGAATTAAGAGATAATAATTTCTAATTTAAGAAATTAATTTAAAGCTACTTTCAAAGTCTTTTAAGGTTTCTATAATTGAATATAATAACACTGTTAATGCTATTTTTGAGATTTAAAAAAATAGTAGACTTAAGTACTTATTAGTAAAATAAAAAACGAATTTATTACCAAATAATTTTTTTGACAGACTCAAGTCATTATAAGTTCATTCAGGATAACTCAACTCTAATTTTCACTTAAAAATTCAATCCTAGGTTCTCAAACTCGACCCAAATATTAAATCTATAATCATAGGTTTCATCAAACCTGGGAGGTGGGTGGGTTTCGGAAGATGAGTTAAGGGATTAAGGATACAAAAGATAATTATACCCCTTAACATGAATATGAATTGAATTGATCAAGGGTACAATAATTATTTACAGGACAATTAGTTACTAATAATTATGATATATCCATGAGTTTTACATGTATATATATTGTATACTAAATATGAATATGAACCGAATTTAATGTTAAATCCCCTATTTGTAAAATAGAGTTTGAATTTGAAAGGATTTGAGAAAGTTATCTAAACCCTCCCCAAAAATCTATCCAGCCCCTAAGATTTTTGGTATTCACAGGTAACAACTTGGCTTCTATGGTTTGTATAAGTACTGTCACCCCCCTTGACTTTACTCAATTGATGACAGATTACTCATTTCAGTTTTTAAGTAAATTAGAAATCACAAATACCCTCTAGCTGCTATTAGTAGGAGGAAAAAAAAAAAAGGAAACACAATCGAGGGCAATAGCTTGAGTGAGTTGGGAGAGGGTGAAGATCAGAGAACGAGTGAGAGACGTCGTGCATATCAATGCCATCGTAGACTTGGTTGATAGAAGATCCAACAGAAGAGAAAAAAAATAGGGGGAAAGGAAGAGAAGACGAGGAAAGAAAAAGAAAAGGAAGGGAGGGGAGGGGGGGGGGGGAAGGGGGAGGAAGGGCAAA